TCACCATGGCTACCAGAGCTGCTGCATCACTAGCCCCTAGGGAAGGAGTGGGGGGAGGAGCAGAAGAAAGCCTTTCCCACACTCTAATCCAAACTCTGATGGAAGGGCCAGGGGCAGGAGGCAAGCAGGCCAGAGAATAACACAAACTGGCCACCAGGCAGTGTCAAGGTGAGCCATGCATCTATAGGGTCTTTAAGGAAGGCCCCTGCATATTGTTGGGTCTGGGAAAGGGAAGCCGGGTACCTAAGCATAGTGGTGCCAAGTGCGTGCTGTTTCTCTGAGGAGCCCACAAGGTACCTTGAGGGCAGAAGCAACGTCTCCTTGTCCTCCTTGTCCTCCTGGTACCTGCATCCAGGAGGTACCTGCCCTCCCTGCTGTCAGCTCTATGGCCCTGGCCTTCTACCAGCTGAGAAGCACCAAACCTATAAAATAAAGGCAGGTACTTTATGTGCTGTGGACGTTGGCTATAGAGATAAGAACAGTGTGGTATCTGTGTACTTGTGTGTGTGTCCACATGTGAAAGGGCTTTGGAAAGAGGGTATCAGAAGCCCCATGAAAGAAGCCTTATTACCATCCATCTGGTCTTCCTGAAGATAGTGTGGGTGGTGAGGGAAACTGGAGGGAAACCATTGATTGACCCTCTTTCTTTGCAAAGGAAGCACCTTCAACTGTTCTTTACCAGTCTGTGTCCTGTGTCCTGGCTTCTCTGGTCAGCCCCACCTCCTACACTTTCCTATAACCACAGTGATGTTGGATGGGGAAACTGAGGCACAGCAATGCCTTGAACAGCCCAGAGCATTAGCTAATTCCACATTCTCCTGCCTCAGCCCCTACCCTGGGTTCAAACCCCAGGATGGCCATGACCTTTCTCCCTGGGGTATGGGAATCATTCTCCTAGCTGGGTGAGCTTGGGCAAATAACCAAACCTCCTTAGCTCTCATTTCCCCTCTGCACAGTAAAAGCCCACTGACATCTTAGAGCTGCTGTGAGGACTGAGATGAAATAGAGTGCTTCGCTCCTGCAAGCTCTCAGTACATCAGAGTTCTTTTATTCAGGTACAGCCGGTTCCCAAAGGTGCCAGCCTTCAGAGGTCAGAAGAGAGAGAGAGATCCCTCAGGCTGCAGACATAACCTACTCCGATTCCTCCCTAGCACAGTGACTGGCTGCTGCCTGCTTGAAAGGTTCTAGAAAACCTGTCCAGGAACAGAGGCCAAGGAGAACTTTGAGGGCAGATACCAGCCAAGAAAAGCTGTGAGGTAGAGCAGGGAAGATGCTCATTCGAAGAGGGGGTTGGGGATTGGGGTGCTGCTGCAGGAGGGTGGTGCCCCCCCCACACCAAACAAAACTGCTGAGCCAGAATGGGCTTGTCTGCGAGCTACCAGGTCACCAGGGCTGAGTCACGCTGGCTTTGGTCCTCAGCCCCTGTGGACCCTCCAGGCCTCCAGTTGGGGAGGGAGAAGGTGCAGCTGCTTTTGCCTTTGCCTTTGTTCCTCCCTCGCAGGTCCCCACAGGCTTCCCCCATCCTTTCATCTCCTGGCCCCCAGCTCCCTGGCTCTCTCCAAGCTCCCTTCCTTTCTCTCCCCACCTCTTTCTCTCTCACCAGTCAAACTCACCGCCCCCCATCCTTTCCCTTGAAGCAGATTTCTTGCTTTCTCATCCTTTCTTCTCAGAGCTCCCAAGCACACTTGGCTGCCTTCCCTCCCTTCCTCTGTGTCCTTCCCTCATCTCTCCTTCCTGCTCCCTTCTCGTTCTTCCCTCCTCCTCCTTCCCTTTCTCTCCCCCCCACCTTTTTACTCTCCTTTCATCTCTCTGTCTTTCCTCCACACCTAAAGACACTTGGAGTCCCCAGACATACAAAACCAGGTCAAGACTCTCCCCATCAAGCTCTTCCCAGTCCTGTTCTGCTGGCTTAGAGTCCAGAGACCAAGGTCAATGCTGAGCAGAAAATCACAGTCCAGCCAACCCTGACAGCCACCTGGAACCCCACCCCCTCACCCCCAGAGATTCCTGTGCCAGGTCACCTGCTTCCTGCAGACACCTGCCAGGCTCTCAAGGCCTGTTTTCAGAGCTCCAGTAAGGCAGGATACAGCTGAGCCCCTGGCCTTCCCTGTCTGGTTCTGTGCCCTCCTCACCCTGGTGCAGGAAATCAAGGTGAGAAGAGGGCCAGAAAGAAATCCTTGGTCACCACTAAAACTACCTGCTTTGAACTGGAAGGAAAACGGTTGGGAGAGAGACTGTCAGCATGGGTGGGGTGCGTATCTTAAAAAAAAAAAACTTAGCTTTGAAACTGGCCAGCTAAACTTAAATCTTGATCCTGCATCTTTTTAACCAATGACCTTGAGCAAGATGTTCCATGTACCTCAGCGCCCACCTCTGTAAAAGAGCCAGCCTTCACAGGGCTGTGGTGAGGCACTGGGTGGGTGCCTGCTCCTACTCCCTGACTCTCCCTTGAAGAAGGAAGACTTCTTGAAGGGCACATGGGAGTCTTGGAAGATAGATCATTACAGTGCTCACTTCTGCTTTTGTTGACACCAGGTGCTATGCTCAGTACTTGAATACATCGTCATTTAATGCCTAAGCAACTGGGGGTTTTTTGTTGTTTCTTTTTTTTTTTTGGTCTTTTTGAGACAGGGTCTTCCTCTAGCCCCAGCTGTCCTGGAATTCACTATGTAGACCAGGCCGGCCTTGAACTCACAGAGATCCGCCTGCCTCTGCCTCCCGAGTGCTGGGATTAAAGGTGTGCGCCACCATGCCCGGCTGGGGTTTTTTTGTTTTTTGTTTTTCTTATTTGTGTCTCATGGAGGAAAAAGCAGTTGAGGCCCAGAAAGGTTGGGCAATTTACTCCAAGTCACACAGCCAAGCAGCAAAATAAGTCATTTATTTTTTAATTTCGAGTGTGGGTGTTTTGCCTGCATGTGTTTAAGTGTACCACATGCCTGTGAAGGTCAGAAGAGGGCATTGGATTCCCTGGAACTGGTATTATGGACAGTTGTTAGCCACCATGTGGTGCTGGGAATTGAATCAGGGACCTCTACAAGAGCAGCCAGTAGTCTTAACTGCTGAGCCATCTCTCCAGCCCCAGAAATAAAATTCTTAACTGTTCTGCTGTCACTTAGTGGTCACCATGGCAATGATGCAGATGAAGGAAGGTGTTGGGGCCCAGCTCTGCTACTTCTTTGTCCCTCCACTTCTACTTGGGGTTTGTGTGGCCTCTACAGGAGCCCCAGAGGTGAGGGTGAGGGGCAGGAGGTAATGACATGGGTGGCCTCATGGCTTCACTCTGCCCTTAGGCATAACAAAAGCAGGTCCTAAACCCAACAAGTACAGGGTCACACAGGGGCCTAGGGGTGGGGGTGCTCTAATTGAGGCCATTACAAACTCACATCTCACTCTGCAGTCTTGTATAGACCTCAGGCCCTGGCCAGCCCCAGCCCCAGCCCCTGACCAACCTGGCAATATTTTTGCTGGGGTGACACAGGGAAGAAGGTAGGCTTCAGGTTTCCATCTCTGGAGCTCCAGGGCCCTGATGGCCTGTACTTTCTACCCTCCCCCTCCTCCCTCCACCAAGTAATTCCTAGATTCCCACCCACCCCTTGTATGGCCAGTCTTTCTGCCACCCTGTATTATGTAATGGAGATAATTGCTCCTTCTAAGGGGCCAGGCCAAGCCTGTGAGGTACTGCCTGAGAATACAAAAGGGGACTGTAGCAGTACCACAGGAATGGTATCCTTGGGGACCCAAGGGTGAAGAGAGCCCAGAGAGTTCCTGTTGGAAAGAGGTGGCCCGGAGTGAGGGTGGGGAAGGAGGGGACTTAACAGGTGTAAATACTCCCCAGACCACCTCCCCTCAGCACCTCCAGCCATCTCAGATTACACTGTGCAGTGCTTTCAAATGGAACTCTGAGGTTTCCATGGCAACTCAGCCTCCTGGTTGCACCTTAGAAGCTGGGAGTGGGGGGCAAGTGCAGGGTGGTGAAGGGAAATAATTGGAGGCACAGTGCTCCGGCAAGGTGAAGGCAGAGTCCCCACCCAGGTCGCACCTCCTACCCCTCACTCTCACCTCTGGGGCTCCTGCAGAGACCACACAAAACCCTAAGTGCTGATGCAGCTCCAGGACAAAAAGGCAGCTAGAGCCAGGCCCCAAGATGTACCCTTGATCTTCCTCAACCTGTGCCACTGCTAAGGCCCTAGCAGACCCCACCCTCATCCCGCCTGGTGCCTCCAGGTTCTTCCATGGGGGCGGGGGGCTCCTAGGCAGCCCTGGGTCCTTATTTTTGCTGAGGGGCTGGACACATCTGTTGTGATGACATTTGGGAAAGTGTTTTGTGAAAGATAAACACATGAAGGTGATAGACACAAAGATGCCAGGAGTGATCCTTGGGGTGCTCAGCTCACCTGCTGTCTGTCAGGGGCCTGCCATGCTGTACAGCCCTGCCAGTCACAAGCCCTGGTGCTGAAAACCCCCTGCCATCCTCACTGATTTCATTGGCTCTTGCCTGACATGACCTCCCCAGCCAGAGACTCACTTAGTACCCCATAACTGTCCCCTAATATCACTGGCTGGAGCTTTTAGGCCAGCCTCACCCTAGCCTCTGACCTCTCTTCCCACATAGTCTGCCTACAAAGGTTCAGGAAGGGCAGACCCCCACCAAATCCGCATGGCCCTTCCCTCCTTCTAAGGGTGCCAGAGTTTCCCTTCATGGTTTTTCTTTTCTTGTCCTGGGACCTGGCCTAAGCCTCCCTTCTAACCTCCCTTCCCTGCCCATCCTCCCCTATCCATCAACAGGGGTGATCTTGCCCCTACCCAGCTCTGAAACACTGACTCAACAAATCTCCCTCTATAGCAACAAATGTTCCTACCTCCACCTCCTCCCCACCAGCCTCCCCCTCCTCTCCTTTGTCACCTCACTCAGTAGTGCCAGTGAGGCCCAGAGAGGGTGGATTTCATTATTTTTTCTTTATTTTTATCAAAGATTTAGGGTTCATCGTCACTGTAGGCACTTTTTTTTTTTTTTTTTTTTTTTTTTTCAAAAATAGTGTCTCCCCTGAGACAGTGCAGCCTCTGAGCAGGCTCCCCTTGTTTCCATGGCGACAGCAGCTGGCTCACATGTGTGGTTGCTATAGAAACCAGGCTGGTTTTCTCCTCACTTTCTCCTCCTCTTTCAACCACCTCACCACCCCGTCCTTTTTCACAACATTTGGGGTGCAAAGAAAGGACTCTGAGAAGCTCCAAGCGCCAGGAGAGCTAGCCAGGTCCTGGCTCCTGACTGGGCAGTGGCACAGGGTGTTTCTCTGTGTCCAGGAGCTGGCTAGCCAGTACCCCATAACCATCCCCTGATATCGCTGGCTGGAGCTTTTAGGCCAGCCTCACCCCTAGCCCCTGGCCCCCCACAAGGGCTAGGAAAGGGGAGGCCCCCACCAAACCTGCATGGCACTTTCCTCCTTCTAGGTGGGGGGCACAAACAGCCTGCAGCCCCCTAGACAAGGGGCTGAAGCAAATCCTGCCACTGCTAGGGGTGGAGCCCAGTTCCAGCATAAAGCCAACTCAGGTGTGGGCCCTGGCATCTCTCATAACATCCTATGCCTGTCTTGCCAAAATGGTGTTTTACACAAGAAAAGACAGCATTCCTTTTTTTGGAGGAAATGGATGGTGGCAGAGCTGGAGAGAGGGGTCAGGACACACCCGAGGCACCCCTGTGGAGTGAGCTCTTCCCACTGTCACCAGAAGGGCAGGAGCCCTGTGTTCTGGTCACAGGTGAATCCACTGTCTGCAGTAGTGTAAATGGGGGGGAGGAAAGCCACCCAACACAGCAACCTCAGCAGTGGTCATTTTTAAGTAGTGATTGCCATTCCAGCCGTTCTGCTTTGTTTTCCTCAGATAGAAGGGTGGGGGCTGGGGATGCAGCTCAGTTAGGAGAGTGCTTGCCTGGCATACACAAAGCCCTGGATAACCCAAGTATTTCAGAAGCAGAGACAGGAGGATCAGGAGTTCAACATAATCCTTAGCTGCCTAGCAATTAGCCAGCCTGAGCTGCATGAGCTCCTCTCAAACAACAAACAAAGATAATGCTCATTCGTTTTCTCTTAGAGAAATAAGAATTTAGAAGTAGCTATACTAGTGAACCATCAACTTTTCTCCTTAAATATTGCAGCAGGCAGCACAACTACTATTTGGTTAACATGTATTGTCACACACTGGGGTCCAGAGAGGTGAGATGAATCTTCAATGGTCACACAGCAGTTGGAGTAAAAGAGAACCAGAGATCTTAAGTCTGAACAGGAGACAAATGCTGTCGGCCCAGGAAAGGGCCAGGAGTAAGAGGGGCCTTACATTGAGGTGACAGTGGTGTCAGGGGCCTACAGACTCAGGCCAGTGGCCCAAACAGGCTTCCATCCTCTTAGTATCTCAGTTCAGCCCCCTTAAAGGCAGGTGCTAGCAAATCCATCTCACACCCCCATTCACCTTGTCCCCAAGCTTCAGCTGGGAGTTGGACTCATTTTGAGAAGACGTGGTACCTGGGCAATGCCCGCGATGTCCGGAAGCTTCCCTCGGACAGATAGTGCCAAAGGGGAAAGTTCCAGCTCCTTTTCTGCCAGGCAGGTCAGGCAGAAGCACTCTCAAGGTCAAAGAAGACGTCATGCAGATCCTTGTCGTCAGCCAAGGGCAGTCTTCTTGGTTTCCTTCCCCTACTTGCAGCCATCTTCTTGGTTTCCTTCCCCTACTTGCAGCCAACATACAGGGCATGTCCCAGACACTGGGGAAATGGAGCAGAGAGAAGCAGGGCAACTGGGGGGAACTAGCCAAAATCCTGGACTATGGGAGTGAAGTGTGGGGTCCTCCTTATGTTCCCATCATCCCCCCATTGACAGACAGACAAGGGACAGACAGTCGGGCTGCAGAGGAAGCAAGGGCCAGCTGAGGCTCATCCCAGTTGATGAATCCTGCCAATTCTTGTGGCAGAGAGACAAACACAGAGAACAAAGAGAGGCCCAGGAGGGAGAGGAGAAGCCAGGGCAAAACTCCTCCACCACCAAGCATAAAGGTTGCCTGGCTCTTTCAAGCTCCTCAATCCTGAGGCCACCTAAGCAGATAAGGATGGACTGAAGATCAGGGACGGGGCAGGGCAAGGAAGGGAGGGGAAGAAAGTGAGGGCCGTGCTTTAGGTGCCTGGTAATAAATATAAAACCTGAGGATGTAGCTCAGCTGGGAGAGTGCTTGCCTAGCATGAATGAAATTCTGAATTCAATCTTCAGTACCTCATAAACCAAATGTGATGGTGTACGCCTATAATCCCAGCACTGGGGAAGTAGAGGTAGGAAGAGCAGAAGTTCAAGATTGTCCTCTGCTACATAGTGAGTTTGAGCTCAGCCTGGGTTACATAAGACTGTCCAAAAAAAAGCAGGGGGAGGGGGAAGCTGGAGAAATGGTTCAGTGGTTAAGAGCATTTGCTGCCCTTGCAGAGGACCTAGGTTCAGTTCCCAGCACTCAAATTGTGGCTCACAACTATCTGTAACTCCAGTTCTAAGGGATCCGACATCCTCTTCTGGCCTCTAAGGGAATACATGTATGTATACCATACCATACCATACCATACCATACATACCATACCATATCCACACCAGCAAAACACAAAATAAAAATAAATAAATCATTTTTGTATGTGTGTGAGTATATTGCCTGCTTGCATGCAAGTGCACCCATGTTGTGCAGTGCCCATGGAAGTCAGAAGAGGGCATCGGATCCCCGAAACTAGAGTAACAGATGGTTGTTAGTCGCTGTGGGTGATGGTGATGGGATTTGAACCTGAGTCCTCTGCAAGAGCATCCAGTGTTCTTAACTGCTGAGCCATCTCTCCAGTCTCTTATTTTTCATTGTTATATGCATATGTATGTGTCTGAATATGGGTTTGTGCATGTGAGTGCAGTGCCTGTGGAGGCCAGAACATGGCATCATATCTCCTGGAATTATAGGTGGTTGTGAGTCACCCAATGCGGATGCTAGGAACCAAATTCTGCAAGAGTAATCATTCTTAACCACTGAGCTACCTCTCCAGCCCAGCTCCTCCTCCCTTTGTTTTGGAGACAGGGTCTCATTATGTAGCCCTGGCTGACCTGGAACTCCCTAGCTTCTCCCCCACGCATTTCTTTGCTCTGGCCCCTTGTTGCAAGGCTCAGCTCTGTGCAGGATACAGCAGCCCCTTCTGTTCTGGCTGTCTCAGATGCTTCTTTATTCTTGTCCTTGCTTCTGTGCCCTTCCATCAACTTTGAAATGGTCGTTTCTGTCTGAGCTCATCTGCCAGTTCCACTTGCCTTCCCAGACTCCTCCCTCTTTCTGTCAAGACCTTCCATGATCATTGTCAGCACCCTGTCCTCAAGGACTGGCCCCATCGGTTTCTCTCCCATAAGAATGTGCCTTCCTTTTCCCTTCCGATTTTAGATGTTACCTAACTTAAGCATGCCTTCTCCCTATGCTCCAAATCTTGGGTTCTTTGAAGTGGGAAAAGTGCATTGGATTCCTAGGGCTGCCATAACAAACTGTCACACACTGGGTGGCTTGAAATAGGCACTTAATACTCTGGAGGCTGGAAGTCTGACATTTAGGTGTTGGCAGAGCTACCCTTTCCCTGCAAGTTCTAGGGAGGGAGTCTCCCTCTGTCCTTCCTTCTGATGCTTGCCAGCAGCCCAGGGACTGTGCTTGCATTAGACCTCCATCACTCCAACCCCCTGCCTCTTTTCCTATAGCCTTCCCTCTGTGTGTCTGCTCTTTCTGTATCTAGGCTTTTTGCATTCGGGTCCATCCCAATCCACTCTAACATCATTTTAACTTGATTTCGTCTGTAAAGTCTCTCTTTCCAAATAAGAGATCATATGCTCAGGTTCCAAGAGATGGAGGCACTCTTTGACCCAGGAAACTACTTTCCCCTTGTATTTTATTTTTGTTTGTTTGTTTTTCCCTATGCTACTGGGGATTGAACACAGGGCCTTATGCATGCTAGGCAGGAGCTCTCTACCATGGAGTGATAGCCCTAGGCCTTCTTTTTCACTTTTTATTTTGAAACAGAGGTTTCAGAGACAAGCCTTGAACTCACTCTGTATCCCAAACTGGCCTTGAGGTTGTGATCCTTCTACTTCAGCTTCCTAAGTAGCTGGGATAAAGGCCTGTACCATCAAGCTCTACTCACCATCATGACTTTGATGACTCCCTCTCCCCTTCACCCCAACCAGCTAAGGCATTCATGTTAGCCTAACAACTCCCTTCCAGCATCCTGCCATCCTGCCACCCCACCAGCCTGACACCAGGGCCTTTGCATTAGGACAGACTGAGACCTGGCTTCTCTGCTTACAAGAACTGGAGAATGGTACTTCCATTCACTGGGCCTGATGTCCTCATCCACAAAGTAGGATAAAAGCAGGACTTTACAGGGTTGAGGTGCTAAGTAAATTACTCCTCAAAGCAAAGAATGATGCCTGGCCTGTGAGTGTGGTCTCTTCAGATCCTCTCAGGCTTCCATTGCCTCTAGCAGGACTCCTGACTGGCTTCCTGGCCAGCTGCTTGCCAGTTCCATTCTCCACCTTCCAAACACATACCTCACCATATCATCTAAATGTGCCCTGCTGCATGCAGTTCTTCAAAGCAGAGCACACAGGACAGCATACAACCCTGTATCATACCTCACTTTGCTGTGCTGTGCATGTAGGTGCATACATGTGCAGATGCACATACAAGTGCATTCACACACGCAAAGGTATACACACAGGTGCATGCTCACAGATGTGTGCACTTGCTCAGGTGCACACTCAGTTGCATGCACACACAGGTGCATACACATAGATGCATGCATATATCAGGTGCACACTCAGAGATGCACGCACATATGCAGGTGCATGTGTGCCATTGCCAGGTCTGCCAATCCCACCACAGTTCTCAGCAAGCCCTCATCTCTCTCCAGCCTTTCAGCCTTTGCACTGCTGCTCCTCTCCCTAGAACTGTCATATCACTGTTCCTTCACTATATGGATATTGGCGATTTCTCCCTAGGACCTACCATGTCTACGACACTGCCCCTCTCCCAACCTTCCATCCTGCATCAGGAGCCATCTTCTGGGGGGGGCCTACCCTTCCAGCCTTCCACCTATACTGGGAAGCTACTCCAGGATCAGCAGGACTGTGTCCCTTCTCTGCCTCTGAGGGTCTTCTCAGAGCACTGCTGGTACAGTAAAGAAATGTGTGTGGACAAGTGATATTTATTTCTAGACCCTCAGGCACTTCTTTGACCTGAATTCCTCTACTTCCCATTGAATTTGGCAACCACCTATCTTCCCCAGTCACTGGGACCTCTGCCTCCCGCCAGTTTTCAGTGCCTCCTCCTCAAGACCGTCCCACTGTTCTGAGCCGTCTCCTGCCCACTCTGCTTCCTTGAACAGCCTCCTCTTTTGCCTTCACCCCATCTCCATCATCTCTCTTCTTCCCTAACTTGAGCCAGTTACTGGCTGCCTCCTGAGCTGCTCTTTGCTTTATGACTGGATTAAGTTAGTGCACAAGCTGTCTATGGGTGTACAGTTGCCATGAGTTGGGACCACAGGAGGCAACCTCAAGGAGGCTCACTGGGAGGAGTGAAAAGAGTAAGCCATCACCCCTTGGGAAGGTTCCTCAACCCCCTGAGAGCTTGCACTCAACCTGCAACATCCTACCTCCCAGGGCAACACCCCAGGGCACCCATGGGAGCTTCCTGGGAGTACCCCCCATGCACGTGCCCCTCAGGGCTCATTGCTGGCAGCAGAGAAGGAGGTAGAGGGAAGAAGTCTCTCTCCTGGAGCCTTGCTATGAGAAAGCATACCCCCTCCACCTGACCCCAGCAGATCAAAGGCTCAGCTGCAGGTAAGAAGAAATGCCTCAGATGATCTGGGCTCATGAGTGCTAAGGCGCCAAAGCTGACAGGGTCCCCTCTGCTTGCGTGGCAGAACTACTCTCAGCCACAAGCCCAACTGGAAGAACTTGGCCACATTCCTCACCTGGTCTCTTTTTCTAGTGACTGTGGAAGGCAGGGCCACCTATCTATCCACATTCACAGGGCCCAGTTTGACAATACCAACACATCTTGCCCACCACCCAGCCTCACAGCCTCTAGCACTTCTCTTGGATGGAGGGCACCCCTCCACCTAGCACCAACTACCCACATGAGAACCGCAGGAGCTTCCTTTGATACCTCTTTCTCCCCTGCACTCCAGCATGTTATCAAGAACGATCATCTCGACCATCTGAGGCCTCTTGCACTCTCTGCTCTAGGGCCTCTTCACCCAGGCTATTCCAATGTCTAGGAATAGCCCTGCATCTTTGTCCCCAAATCACAGTAGGGCCATGGGGTCTGGAAGCCATTTTCTATGACGGTTTCTTGATGTTCCTAGGCAATGTAATGACTGTCACAGCTTGTTCATACTCAGAGTGGCTCTTGTCCTGTCAAAATCCTTCCATGATGAGATCCTATCTCAAAAAAAAAAAACTGAAGGAAAATGTGCATTTTTAAAAAAGACTTATTTTATGCGGATGAGTGTTTTGCCTGAAAGTATGTGAGTGTATCACACATATACCTAGTGTCTAAGGAGGCCAGAAGAGGGCATCAGCTCCCTTGGAACTGGAGTTAAGGATGTTGTTAGCCACGATGTGGGTGCTGGGAACTGAACCTAAATCCTCTGCAAGAGCAGCCAGTGCTCTTAACTACTGAGCCATCTCCCCAGCCCCCAAGCATGTCATTTTGAGAACTTCTGTCACCTGCTTCTCTTTCACATCTTGGGGATAAAGCAGATTTTTGAAGAAGAGGAGGTCTTTTCCAGCCAAACTTACTCTGAATCCCCTCTCTGTTTTGTTTTTATAGGATCTTAAAAAAATTATTTTTAATTAGTATATATTTGTGAGTGTGTGCATGTGATTGCAGGTGCCCAAAGAGGTCAGAGATATCCAGGTCCCCTTGGAGTTGGAGTAACAGGAGGTTGTGAGCTGTCCAACACTGGTGCTGGGAATTGAACTTGAGTTTCCTGCAAGAGCTGCCAGTGCTCTTATGTACTGAGCCATCTTTCCAGCCCTTTGTTTTTGGGTTTTTTAAATATTTTATTATTTTTATTTTATGTGTATGAGTATATTGCCTGCATGTATGTGAGTGCACCCGTGTTGTGCAATGCCTGCGGAGATCAGACAAGGGCTTCGGATTCCCCTGGAACTGGAGTTAAGGACGGTTTGTTGCCACCATGTGGGTGCTGGGAATCGAACCCAAGTCTTCTGCAAGAGCAGTCAGTGCTCTTAACTGCTGAGCCATCTCTCCAGCCCCTGTTTTTTTTTTTTTTTTTTTTTTTTTTTGTTTTTTAAGGCAATCTTATATAACCCAGGCTGACCTCAAATTGGATTTGCAGCAAGGGATGGCCTTGAACTCTACCTCCCAAATGTTAAGATTACAAACATGAGCCAGTACTTTCTTCTTTAGACTCTTAAGCAATCCCTACCCCCCTTAGTTTTCCCTTATCCAAAAGTCCCAAGGTGCTGGAAGCCCTTCAGTCCATCCGTGTCTCCCCGAACCCTATCTCTGGAAGCACCCTCCATTTCCCTGAGGAAGTCCATCCCCTCCTGCCCCTGCTCACAGGGCTAGCCCCTGCTGCTGTTGCCTTCTGTGAAAGGAGGACCTCTGTCCAGGTGCATGCCCAGGGCTTCTGCAGATGTCATGCAGAGGCAGGAAGCAGAGACACCTTGAGTCCCTCAGCTTCAGGTCACAAGGGCAGCGGGAGTTCTCCCTGTTGCTCCAGTCCCAGCCTCCCTCCATTTTGTATTCAAGGTTTGTTCACTGCTTTGATGAAATGGTAACCATTTTCTAGAAGCCCTGCTCCTGCCTGCATTATTCATGGGTTCCTCTCTCCGCTACCCACAGGCACAGGCTGATCACTCAGAGAGTGAAAAGGAGAGGTCCTGGTGAATAGTATCTCCATCTCTCCTCCAGCCTTTTCTTCCCTGCCCCTTTAAGTCAAGAGGGTTAGAAAGAGAACCCCTAAACTCTTCTTGGGGTTACTGGAGCCCTGTGTTCATCTGTTGCTTCTTATCCAATCCCCCAGGCTACACCACCAGCTTAACACACTGGACAGGCGCTCTAGAGAGTTGAGCAATGAGCTTAGAAAAGTCGTTTCCACCAAGTAAAATCAGATTTCACCCACTCCAACTGCCTAGCCCCTGTCCTATAGCCCTGGGGTCTGCCAAGTTTACCTCCAAGCAAGGCAGGACCATGAGACCTGGGCACATCAGAAGGGTCTGCCCTCTGGGTCATGTTTCTGTCCCAAAGGTCCTGTCTTCTGTCTTCACCTCAGGTCTATTCCAGGCCACCTTGGGGCAGCTTGCAATTCTGAGTCCTGTTCTCTTCTATCCCCCGGTTTTCCATCTGCAGTCCAACTGCTTCTCCCTTGGTGGAAAAGGATGCTCAACTGGAATTTTCACAGGGATGGATGCCAATCCTGCTCTCTTTTCTCCTCCTACAGAAGTATGTGACCTGCTGCCTTGCCTGGTTTTCCTCAGCCCATCCTCCAGTGTGCCCACCTGCAGCTAAGCCCTGAGAACTCAGGCACATGTCACAGTCCTGTCCCTAGAGTAAGGAAGTGGGAGCCAGACCACCGGTCCAAGGCCCCCCAGCCAGCATTCTTCCTCAGCTGCCACACACACAGACAGAAGGTTCCACATGGGGCTCACTTTCGCTGGTGAGGGGATGATTACCACTGACTCACACCTCATGTCATGCTCCATTCAGTCACCTAATCACTGAGTTTACTCTGTAAACAGCTCTTTGAATTGGAGGCTATTTATCCCCTCAAGGGGTAAAGAAACCGAAACTCAGAGGAGTCAAAGTGATTGGGTGTGGTGGTCCACACTTGTGACCCCAGCACCTGGGAAGTAGAGGCAGAGAATCAAGAGTTCAAGGGGGTCATCAGTGGCACACACCTTTAATCCCAACGCCCTCTGTGAGATCCTGGACAGCTGGTCTACATATCAGTCCCAGGTCAGCTGGGGCTATAAGGAAATCCTGTCTCAAAAAGACAAAAAAAAAAACCCCTGTTAAAAAAAATATAAGAACACCATTTTACCTATACACCCACCTCCCAAACACGCCGGGGAAAAATATCCTCACTCTAAAAAAAAACAAAAAAAAAAAAAAAAAAAAAAAAAAAAAAAGAATTCAAGGTCATCATTACCTGTATAGCCAGTTCCCAGATCAGCCTGGGCTACATGAGATCCTGCTTCAAAAAAATCAAACTGAAAAGGAAAGGAGTTAATGTGACCAAGGTCACTTAGCAGCACAAGGCAGGGTTCAGGTTCTCTGCTCCAGAGCACCCCTTAGAGACAACTCCTGGCAGGGAGGGGAGGGTCTCTTCCCTCAGCATCCCCCATCTCCCTTTGAACCTTTCCCAGGATCAGGGCTGGGAGTTTAGGGACACCACTCCCAGATGGCTGTGGATGTGGCAGTTTTGCCTGCCACTGAAGGACCCAACTGCTAATCAGCAGCACTGGTATCCAGGCAACCAGCCTCCCTGGCTTCAGATAAGCAGAAACAGCTGGAGCTGCTGAGGCTGGGAGCCTTAGGGAAGGGAGGGAGCCAGCCAGCCCATCCTCACTTGTTATTTTCAGCCTGTTTTTCTCACCCTTCAGACATCAGACTGAGCTAAGGCCATTTCCCCAGTGTGTCCTTGCACTGCCCTCTGGGAAGGGGCTTCCAGGACTTGGTCCAGTCATGAGCTTGGCAGAGTTAGGGGAAATAAGGGGCCAAACTCTGATCCTCCCTCCCTCTTTCCTGAGCAGGGGAGGAAAAGAAAGTTGGTATTGTACTGGGAGGTCCAAAGCTTAGGTTCAACTGATAAACCTCAGTAGGTATGCTTGGCCTTTCAGTGCCTCCAGGCTTTAAGGAACAGGTCAGGCCAGGCTGGAGTGCAAATTATATACCCCACCCAGCATCCCAAGAGCACCCCAGGAGGGCAGTAGTAATTGGGCAAAGGGCTCAGTTAGACCTGCTAGGTCTGGATCAGTCCAGCTCTGCTTCCAGGTTTGGCCTTCCCTCTCAGCCGCAGCTCCCTCTGCTGTAAAACAAAGACAAAGCCCACCTGCAGGCTAGAGGCTGGAAACTAGGCAAGTGGCATGTGGCCTGGCCAGCAGGGTGCCTGGCACAGGGGCTGCTGAGGTGACTGCCAAGGGCTGGGCCTGCCCTGCCAGCCTGGACCTCTCTCCCACATAGGAGCCTGCCCCCGCATCCCCTGGCTATTTCTGTCTCCTGCTCTAAAGGTCAGTGCCTTTCCTGGGATGTGGCAGCTGCCACCTCTTTTCCCTCTAAGTGACCCCAGTCCCACTCCCAGGGGCAGGAGGTTGCCCTGATGACTCTCCCCCACCTGTCTTCTGCAAGATCTGGCCTGGGCATATCCATCCCACCACCACACACTGCCCCCCCCCAGGCCATTTTTGGGTCTAGAGTGTGGCCAGTTCTGGACTGACTGACCACATCAGCAGCCAGAATCCTCCCACTGTCCCTGTAGCAGCAAAATGACCAAGGTACATGTGGTAGCTGTCTGACCCCCATGCCTGCTCTAAACCAGCGTGGCTTTATGTCTCTTTTCCTTCTCCTTTCCATTCCTCTCTTCAAGGTGGCTGCAAAGATTTACAGCTTGCCTGCCCTGAGGATTTTTCCTTAAATTCTAATAAAATTGTCCTAAAGCTTCCATTTGAATCCATTCTTAAATTCCATTATGAATGAGACTAAGGACCCTCTAAGAGGGACCTGTTTCTCCCCTGTATTAGTATGACTTCTCCCAATGACCTCTGGGGACTCAGCCTATCTGCGCCCACAGGTACCACCCACCATCGAGATGTGACTGACCTTGGTGGCTGAGTGGCCTGACACAGGGAGTAGTGTCCCAGGGTCAACAGGGCCTCTAGTCAGCATCTCCCAAGGTGGTCCCCACTTCACAGAGGACCAGCTAGGTCTCCTGTCTACTGCTTCCTGTTGTTCATTTCAGGAAGGAGTTCCTTCAGAGGAGTCCAAAGTGCTGTGAGGTGGGGAGAGCTTGGCTGAGAACAGCTGAGGCCCTGCTCTGGTGGTAAACAAGGCAACAACAGCCCAGTGAGAACAGAGATGTCCTGGATCCAGTCTTTCTTTGTTTCTTCAACTGAACAGCAGAAAAGAAGAGGAACTTGGTGATGGCAGCATAATTCATGCCTGTAGCCCCAATGCTCTGAAGACTGAGGCAGGAGGATGCTGAAAGCCTAGCTCCAAGAAAGGAAAGGAAGGCTAAGAGAAAAGGAAAGGAGAGGAGGAAAAGGCAACCCTTCTCTTGACTGGGGGTGGGGAGAGGGAGGAGGACCTAGCCCAGCTGGTCTCTCCCATCCTTCCCCAAACACCCTCAGGCCCCCACTCCCTCCCCTGATACAGCATTATGGGTGGGAACCAGGACTCAAAAGCAAGATAAACAGAAGTGAAAGGGGCTCAGGAGGCACATTCCAGAGCTAAAAATAACAGGGTCAGCTGGCTGGCTGGCAGCCTCATCCCTCCCCAGTCACCCCAGGGCCCCAGCCAGTCCCCTCCTCTCCCCCAGCTCTGAGCTGGGCCCCCAATCTGGGAAGCTTAGAATGCATCTGCTGTTGACCATGTCAACATCCCTTCCAGACTCTACCCTCAGCTAGGGAAAGTAGGGGGCCTACCTCAGTGAGGTCCTCTACTCTACCATGCCTAACTGGGTCCCCAGTTCATCAGCTTAAACCCCTGTCCTGCCTTAATGTTATCACAAAATGCATGATGTTTGTGGTCCTATCAGCCAAGGCAAGGTGCCTGAAGCCATAAAGGATGGGCTTTCCCTACAAGCATACCCTTTACTCCCACCACCATTAAGCAATTCTGCTCTTATTCAGGGAGCATAGGGGAAAAGAAAGTTCAAAGAAAAACTCATGAAGCACCTACTATGAGCCAGTACCCTGTAATGCCAGCATTTGGGAGGAAGAGCCTAGAGAATTTGTCACAAGGTTGAGGCCAACAAGGTCTATATAGTGTTTTTTTTTTTTAAAGTACCTACTAAGGGCCAGACTGCTAGGCTATCCTGTCCATCACTTCATTCTCATTCCTGTTGTAGAAACTAAGGCTCCAAGATGCAAGGAAAGAATGAAATCATCAGAGGCTGCCCCAGCAGGAGTAGGGCTCCATGGCCGGGGCTACCATCCAGAGATCACCTTCTTCCACTGAAAGCTGAGCGCCAGCTTCACAGAGGGGTCTGTATCAGCAGCTGAGATCCTCCCCAGAGGGACCATCCTGCCAGAGTGCAGCACCTTCTGGAAATGTTAGTTAGGCCCCACACCTGCAACTAAGACCAGGGGGCCTGTGCCCTGGCCTGTGTGGGGGCCCTTTGCTGTGAATACCTGAAGCAGGGTCCCTTCCACCTGATGGCAGCTGGGGCTGTTCAGGAGAGCAGTGTTCCTCATGTCTGTGACAGAGTGTCACTTCTGGAGCCCAGCCTGTGAACAGAGAGCTTCAGGAGACAGTGCTGACTCCAGAGATCCCAGAGCCTTGATGCTAGGATATGCTTTCCTGATAAGCCATAGGCCTTGTACCAGCTGGGTCCCCACTGTTCAGTCCATGAGGGTGTCAACCCTGAGACTTAAACCCAGACAAGACAGGCTCTGCTGAGACTTAGTAGCTGCAGCCAGCAAAGGAGTATGGGAAACTGGAAGCAGTGTTCCACCCCCACCCCACCCTTAACCCCTACCCCAGATACAGGGCAGCACAAGGAAAGGAAGAAAGGAATCCACCTCCTTTGTCTGCCTCTCAGGCTGAGGATGCCCCATGACCCTGCCAAGCTCTGCTTGAATACACCTAATGGCAACAGGCTATCCCCCTGTGCTCTAGAGGATCCTGCAAGGCCCCCTGGGTCGTGTAGAACTAGAGCCTCCATCCCTGTGCTCCCTTCTGTCTGATTCTCCCCTCTGGACCCCAAAGCTGCCTCTTTCTACACAAAGGCCTTTGGGAGGTAGAGCACTTTCTCAGACAATTGGATCTAGGCAGGCTTTAAATGTTAGAACTAGGACACTCATAGAAAGAGTGAGATTCAAAATCAAGCTGAAATTGGGTGTCGTGGAGTATGCCTGAAATCTCAGCACTTGGGACGTGAAAGCAGGAGGATCAGGATTTCAAGGCCAGCTTGTACTACATATTGAGTTTCAGACTAACCTGGCTACCTGAGATCTTCTCCCAAGAAAACAAGTAACAACAAAATCTCCAAACAAACAGAAAACGTACCAAATTGGGTGATGATGACTTGTATCCAGATATACTGTCTCTGACACCTGCACCTCCAGCCGCACTCACACAGGGCTCTTCATTTAGCAGATGTGGCAGTGCTTACTGCTCAGTCCTTGTAGACTCTAGGTGTGTTGGGGGCTTTCTTTCACAATGTAGACAGTGCACTGCTTATCAGATGGGCTGAGTCCCCCAGCCTGAAATCTGTAGTGTATGACTCAAACTCTTGCCTCCTTACGCACCCCAGCCCATGGACCTGTCCCTCAACCCCATCCTTTCTTGGTTTCCACTCTTCACCAACCTCCTCAACCATCTAAATTCCTCCACCTCTCACCTCCTCACACCTGCTCTCTACTCCTATAGATGGCCCTGCAGCCTACTTCATCCCCAATCCTTCCTCTGCCTAGAAGCCAGAGCACTGTCACATCTTGTCAATCACCTGGGAAAACCTCACAGTGGTTTCCTAAAAAAACTAAGCTCCAGTCCATGGACTATGAAGCTCAACAGCTGCCCTTGCCCACCTTCCTGACCACTGGCCTCCCAAGAGTATTCCAGGCTCTTCTATGTCTCAGGGCCTTTGCACTGACAGCTCTCTTTCCCTAGAAATCATTTTACCAGTTATTCACAACTCAGACTCATTCCCAACTTCAGACCTCCCCCAGAATACCACTGTCTCAGAAAGATCTCCCTTAACTACCCTGCCTAAATTAATTAGATTCTCAGAGCAGGAGAAATGGCTCAGTGGTTAAGAGCATTTTCAGTGGTTAAGAACCTGGGCTTCTGCTGTTCTTGCAGAAGACCCAGGTTCAAATCCCCGCACCCACATGGTGGCAACCATACATAACCCAGTTCCAGGAGATCCCACGCCCTCTTCTGTCCTCTGCAGGCACTGCACAACACAGGGACACTTACATACAGCCAGGCATAACCTTCATACACATAAAAATAAATTTAGCCAGGCATGGTGGCACATGCCCTTAATTCCAGCACTCGGGAGGCAGAGGTAGGCAGATCTCTGTCAATTCAAGGCCAGCCTGGTCTACGTAGTTTGTTCTAGGCTAGCTGAAGCTACAGGGAGAACCTGTCTCAAAAAGACCAAATTAAACAAATAAATAAATAAATAAATAAATAAATAAATAAATAAATTTTTTTTTCATTGTTAGACTTAGCATTTAGGGCTGCACTATCCCTCCAGCCCATTAATTTTAATAAGTTAAATTAGATTCTCTTTGTATTCTTGTGTTCCCAATTTTTTTTTTTTAAAGTGGCTCTTGTAACCCAGGTTGGCCTCCAACTTACTATGTAGCCAAGGATGACCCTGAAGTCTTGATCTACCTGCCTCTACTTTCCAAGTGCTATAATTATAGACTTGTGCCATCATGCCCAGCTTGCCAGGTCTTTTTTTGTTTATCCACTCACTCATTTCATGTACTCATTCATGCATTTATGCTGTGGTCTGGATATCAGACTGAAATATAACCAAAGGAGCACAGGGACCCTGCTGTCTCACCTCCCTCAAGACTTCTCACACAGGGCCTGGCACCCGTGGGCACCAGGGACAATCTACTGGGTAATAAAGAGCACCCCTTGCACTTGCCCAGCCTCCAAGGGGATTTTTGAAAGCAGCACAGCTTGGACACAGAGAAGTAGACATGAAATGCCCAAGGGCCCCCTGAGCTTCATCAAAGGAGGTATGCATGTAAGAAAAACTGGCCCTTTTGATGATGGTTTAATTTCCTTCATTCCCTATGACTTTTCTCAGAAATGAAACCCCATTGATGAACAACACTGTGGAGGCTCCTGCTTCCACAGCCTTTACTCCCACAACCAGCTTTTATAGCTAAGCAAGTGACCAGCACACAGATAGTATTAATGGTACTACAGAATTAAGTATGAATTAAGTATGACTTCTTTTTTAAAAAAACATTTAAAATGGGTTTTTTGTTTGGTTTTATTTCTTGAGACAGGATCTTATTATGCAGGCCTGGCTGACTTGGAACTCATTCTGTGTCTGTGTGTGTGTGTGTGTGTGTGTGTGTGTGTGTGTGTGTGTTTATTGGTTGGTTTTTTAGACAGGGTCTCCCTTTAGCCCCAGCTGGTCTGAAGTTCACAATGTAGACTAGGCTGGCCTACATCCCACAGAGATCTGTTTGCCTATGCTGGGATTAAACATGCATGTCACCATACCCACTGTTTGTTTTTTGAGTGCTAAAGACTGATGCCAGGGTTTGGTGAATGCTCTACGACTAAGCAATATATCTCTAGCTCTTTAAAATAATTGAGACAGGGGCTGGAGAGATGGCTCAGCAGTTAAGAGCACTGATTGCTCTTGCAGAGGACCTGGGTTCAATTCCCAGCACCCACATGGCAGCTATGAACCATCCTTAACTCCGGTTCCAGGGGAATCCGAAGCTCTCTTCTGACCTCCCAGGCATTACACGCCACGGGTGCACTCAATACATGAAATACACTCATACACATAAAATTTTTAAAAATTAAAAAAAAAAATTGAGATATCTTCATAAGTTTCCCTGACTGGTCTTGAACTTCCAGTGTAGTCCAGGCAGTTCTTGTAGTCCTCCTGCCTCAGTCTTCATTCTTCCAATAGCTAGGACTAGAGATGTGCCAAAGCGTGAGTCTTTGGAAGAGAATTTCAGTACGGTGTTTGCTAGATAAGAAAGCCAGGATCATCTGGGGCTTATGAACACAGGGCAGGCCTGGAGACAAATGGTACCCCTGCTCTATCCACCCTCATTTTATCACAAAGCAGCAAGCGCTTTTTAGGGGAAAAGATGGGAGTAGGTGGGAGGATTCCAATAAAGTCCCCCATAAATATGGACCAGGTAGCCATGTCTTTGTATGGCTTTTTGTTCAGAGAGCACCTGCCCTGCCCTACAGCCGCAGAGGGGGCTTGTCACATTACAGGAAAGCAGCAGAAACTCCTTTGGTGGCAGATTAGAGCAACGCTAATGGTTTCCGTCTCTTTTCCAAAAATTACATTAAATGTATCTGTGTGTGCAAACACCAAAGACAGAGAACAACCTTCAAATGTAGTTCTCTTCAACCACGTGGGTCCCAGAGATCAAATTCAGGTCCTTGGGTTTTATGGCAGGCACCTTGACCCTCTGAGTCATGTCCCCAAACTTTCTAATGATTTCTCTGTGTTAAATATCTGCCTGTCCAGGCCTGGTGAAGCCAAGGCTGTTTTTAATCCAAGCACTTGGAAGGCAGAGGCAGGTGGATCTCTGTGAATCTGAGGCCAGCCTGGGTCTACATAGCAAGTTCCAAGCCAGCCAGTGTTACATAGTGAGACCTTAACTCAAAAAGAAACAAGAAAAGAAAAATCTACCTGCTGGAGCTGGAGGGATAACTCAGCGGTTAGGAATGTATACTGCTCTTCCAGAGTACCCAAGTTCAGTTTCCAGCACCCAAGTCAAGCAGCTCACAACTGCCTATAACACCAGTTCCAGGGGATTTGAAGTCTCTGGCCTCCTTAAGCACCCGCATGCATGTGCGCATAGCCACTTAGAGACACATAATTAAAAGTTTTTTAAAAATTTGAGACAGGGTCTTGGGAGGCAGAGGCAAGTGGATCTCTAGAAGTTCAAGGTCAGCCTGATCTACATAGCCAGCTAGGCCTACACAGTGAGACCTTATCTCAAAAAGCAAAAACTAAAACAAAATACAAAAGAAAGTTGAAATACCTACCTGCTAAGTCTGGTGTATAAGCCTGAAATCCCTGCACTTGAGAGATGGAGGCAAAAGGATCAGCACTTCAAAGTCATTTTTGATACAAGGCCATCCTGGGCTACTTGAGACCCTGTCTCAAAACAAAACAAATATCTACTTGCTATTTTTGCATCCTTCAAACCAGAAGCCCTGTAAAGCCCACATGCTCACCGGTAGACAGACAGACCTAGCCTGGCAAAGAAAGTCTACAGTGAAGGAAAACAAAACAGAACCGCAATCAATTTGTGAAAAATTGGTTTTAACACTAAGATGACCCCAAAGAAGTCACATAGTCAGGTAGCAAAGTCCAACAGAAGTGTGTGGTGTACAGGGCAGGCTGACATGTTTGTTTGTTTAGGCAGGAGTGTCCTTTGCTAGCATGGAAGGGGGGAGGGTGAAGTGTGTATTTGAGGAAAGCACATCCCCATATCTTATTGCTTTCTCACTCTCCTTCATCTCCTTACTTGGGCACCTGAACAGGACCCCAGTCACTATAGGCTCAGGGGTAGGGAAGCAGAGAGAGTAGCCGGGAGACAACACTGGGACAAAGAGTCCTTTCCAGGCTGGTTTAAAGCCCTGTTTTCAGTCTAGGAGGGTACAGCCTCCACCTACCTGCTACCCAGGTCAAAGTCCTGGGAGATGTCCTGGTCTGTCCCTTCTTCATCCCGACTCCTAACCAAGCACCCAATTGAGTCACCTGTACCTCTTCCATGACTTCATTGCCTGTTAGCACCCTAAGCTAGGCTTTTGTCTCCCCCAGACCTCAATGGCTTCTCACCCACTGGCACCATCCTCTTTCAGCACCCCCCTTCTATTTGTGCCATTTTGAGACAAGGTCTCATGTATCCCAAACTGGCCTCAAACTCACTACACAGCCAAAGATGACCTTGAACTTCAGTTCCTCCTGCCTTCACATCCCAAGTGCTGAGATTACAGGTGTGTGCCACCACACCCAGCTGATGCAGTGCTGAGGCGCAAACTCAGGGCTCTGTTCATACCAGGCAAGCATTCCACCAACCGCTACACGCTCAGCCCAAGGTACCACCACACACCAGACTCCATTACTTCTCACCCATGGACAACAGGCCTCCAAGACCCTGTTCCTGCCTGCCGGGCCCCATACCCTTCTCCTGGACCAGATGCTGCACCTGCTTACACCGGTTTCATGATCCCACCCCACCCCCATGCCCACACCCGTGCAGAGAAGGGACACAGTGGCACTGCCTGCTGACATTCTGGGCCAAGACAGCCCGTCGGATTTTTTTTTCCTCCTTATCAAGCTGAGTAACCATGTGGTAGCAGACGAGGCCCCATCCTGGAGCCAGTCAGCGCGGGGGCCTTGGAGCAGCTGGGGTCGCCATGGAAACCGCTAGCGCAGGCCTCTCAGGGCCAGGCCTTCTCACTCCGCCTTTTTGTCAGGCTTCCTCAGCCACCCTGAAACCCATTCAGCGAGCGAAGCAGGCCCTCCCCCCTGCCCACTCTTCCTAGTCTACCTCTTCCTCCCCTCTGGGCTCCTCCCAGCCACCCTCCCCTCTGCGGCCTTGGCCAAAGGAGAGGAGAGCTGGGCCTAGGAAAGGCTCCGTTTTCAATTCTAAGCCGATTTCCCCTCCACAGGCAGCGAGCCCTTTCATGCATTTTCCCCTATTATCATAAACGCAGGAACTTGCATTAGGATGAATGAGCCGGAACTCCTGTCTTTGTCAGAGCCTTGGCAGACGGCCAGCCATAGAATGACCTAAAACACTCAGAATTAAATGGAACTGGAGAGGGGGTGGAGATCCCTGGCGGGTGAGAATAGGGAAGGGGGGGTGGCCCCTGGTCTCTAATCATAATAACAGAGCATTCCTGGTGTGTCCAGGCTCTGTGCTGAGCGCTGGTGCACAGACGCTCTTTAAATCCTCACAAAACTCCTACATCCCATTGATCTCCCACCCCTTTTTTTATATAGATGAAACTTAGGACCAGAGATGTCAAGAAGCAGGCCCAAGATCGCCCAGCAAAGAAGTGATGAAATGGGATTTCTATCTTTCAGACTCTGGATCCTGCACTTCAAGAGGCTCTACAGCCATGTTATTGCCTAGACCCAGCCTGCTCCTTCCTCTCACCTAGCCTCCCTTTGACTGCGTTCAGTTTCCAACCCCAGAGTAATTTTTGCAAAACCAGACTTGCTGTCCCAAATCCGATCTAGATGAGACAGCTCCAGGGAGAGGGAAGAAAGTTCCCAACGCCCCCTAGACCACACAGTGCCGCCTGGTAAGGCTGACACCTCCTTTTATAGACCCACAGGTTACATGCTGGTCAGTAGTGCACACACTGACTAGCCAGGTAGTTCATCTGGAGCTGGACTGAGTGAGCCCCACCCCACTCTAGATCCAGGTCCCTCCATTTTTTCCTCCCTAGACGGCGCAGATTCCTTGCTTTAGGTTTCAGGTGAGATCCAGCCAATGGGATGTGGGGGTAGGCAATTGGGGAGGCAGGGGCTGGAGGGGAAGGAGGTGAGGGGGTGGGTATTGAGTCCGAGTTTGCTTCCCAGCTGGAGCAGGTAGGCGTGGCCACTTTCCTCCCAAGCAGCAGCTGTCCCCTGGCCCTCAGGGGTGAAGCACCAGCCACTTCAGTGAACTGAGTCTTCCTTACCTTGCCTACAATTTCAGGAATGGCGCTTTCCTTGATGTCCCTTTCCAGACCCTCTCTGAGTATACAATCTTAGTTTCTTCCCAGGACCCAGACACAAACTCCAAATGTCTTTTCTTGGCTAAAGTGGGTTTCTTATAAAATGAATGCCATTTTTTTTTTTTTTTTTTTTTTTTTTTTTTTTTTTTTTTTTGACAGGTGGCAAGATTCTAGCAGTGATTAAAACAAGCAAAATCTCCTGCCCTCAGGGATCAGGGAACTGAAATGGAGTAAGACAGACAGTAAACAAAAAATACTTTGTCTGGGAGCATAAGTGCTGCGTATGAATGAATGAACCAGAGGAAAGGATCAATGAATGCAATCGTTTAGAGGTCAAGATTAGATTTGAGAGATAGTCTAGTCTGAACCCCTCACTCTGCAAATGAAGACCAAGAGAGGAAGCTTAAGGCCATATGATGAATTACTGATAAAAGCTGGGCTGGAGTCCAGCTCTCCTTGACTTGGTCATGGTCAGAGCCTGAGAGAAAGCTTAACTCGTGAAAGTAAGAGAAGGTAGGGGAGGCAGAGGTCTTTTTGTTTTGAGACAGGGTCTCACATAGCCCAGGCTGGCCTCAAAACTCAATATGTAGCTGAGGATGGCCCTGAACTTCTAATCTTCCTGCCTCTACCTCCTATGCTGGGATTACAGACATGCCACCATAGTGGGTTTATGCATGCTGGGATTGAACCTAGTATCATTTTACTTTTTTTATTTTTATTTTTTGGTCTTTTTGAGATAGGGTCTCCTAGCCCCAGCTGGCCTAGAACTCACTGACCAGGCTGTCCTGGAACTCACAGATCTGCTTGCTTCTGCCTTCGGAGTGCTGGGATAAAAGACATATACCACCACCACATCTGGTTTAAATTTTATTTTATGTGTATGGGTGTTTGGTTTGTATGTAGGTAAGTATACCACATGTGTGCAAAAATGCCCATAGTGGCCAGAAGAGGGTGTCAGATCCCCTGGTACTGGAGTTACAGACACTTGTGAGCCACCATGTGGGTACTAGAATCAAACCCCTGTCCTCTGCAAAAGCAACCACTGCTCTTAACCTCTGAGCCATCTTTCTAGCCCCGCACTTTCCCTTCTTTAAAAGCATGTTTTCTAAGTGAACTTCAAGGCACTGATGAGTTTACCAGGTCCAGCTGTACAGAAAGGAAGGCATCACCGAGCTGGAGGAGCCACATTCTGACAGCACCTGAACTGCTCCCAGGAACAGAGGGCACCATGGGAGGCTGGGAGGACCAGGACATTGGGATGCACAGTGATAGCAACTGGAGGGAAGAGAAGGCTTGTACTTGTATGGTGTCTGGCCCTTTGGGAGGGTATTGTTCTTTGTTGCTGACAAAGTCCCAAATCACAAGGAGGGTTTGGCTGGGAACCTGCAACTGCCCTGGGTGACCGGGTCATGTGTTTTCCAAGCTCCCCAGTTCTTCCCATTCTGCCTAGCTCTCCATCCTGGCATGCCCCCAGTCTCCTACTGGGTAAAGGGAAATAGCTAAGGGCTGTTCTCTTTATGGAGCCTGCCATACACTGGCCAAGCACAGTTCCTGTCTCAGCTCCCTGCAAAACCCTCACAGTTCTCCCCAGAGAACCACAATCTATTCCCATCACACAGACCAGCAAGCAAGCTGGTGAGCTATGCCTAACTTATGAAAGCAGAGGAACAGTAAGCTGCAGAGGGAAGACTCAAACCCAGATTCAGGAAAAAGCCTGATTCACTCCTTACATTGCCTGCAGACCTACCAGGGGACTTCCTGGAGCCTGCCAGACCACTGTCTTGATTGGCCCAAGGGCTGATATGGGTCACACCCACATTTCTCCCCTTTCAAGTCCCTTCAAAGTTGACCACTCAGTGGCTCCAGCTGGTCCTTGGAGTCTCAGGTCCACTACTGATGCAGTGTCTTGGACATGTGGCCCTGCACCAGGCTCCTGGCCCAGTGGTCAGGCTGAGGTTGCCATGGCAATGCCCTACCCTTGGACTGCCTCATGGGCCCCACAAGCCACTGGAATGTCTCAAAAATACCACCCTTCAGGCAAGCATCCAAACCACCTCTCCCAGCCAGCAGCTCTCAGTTCAAGCAACAGGAAAATCCTTTCAGAGCATGTCCTGATTTTCAGCTTGGAAAACAGATGGCCACCATTGCAAGGCTCATGTCCACCCGCCCTCTTATCCTCCTCCCCACCCCCATCTCTTCCCAGTCCTCTGAGCAGCTCTCTTGGGCCCTGGCTTTCTCATCCTTAACAGCGATGACAATCATCCACCTGCAACTTTAGCTTTTGAGGTAGACTAATGATTTTCTTTTTAAAAAATTAACTTATTTGTGTGTGTGTGTGTGTGTGTGTGTGTGTGTGTGTGTGTGTAAGCCAGAGGATAACTTTTGGGAATTGGTTCTCGCCTATCATGTGGGTCTCAGGAATCAAACTCTGGTCATCAGGATTGAGGGCAAGGTCCTTTACTCACTGAGCCATTTTGGCAGCCCCAGACTAATGATTCTT